GTCTTTTCACTTTTTTCTGTTTTTAAGTACAGTCGGTAGAGACTTTTGGTTTCTGTTGACCATTAATATTTTCCTGGAGCCTTCTTTAATCGGATATTTTGATTAGTGTTATTATGTTTGAAGGATGGTAATTTGATGACTGTTGTTAACTGGCAATGGTCAGATGCTATATTGGGCTCATGTATTTTGAAATGCATGATATATTTTTGTAGATAGACGTCAGTAATTGAATAATCCACTGTACTCGAACCATTCTATTCATGACATGTAAATCGTCCAATTTTATCTCCGATAGCCCTCCCATTCAAAACTGACTCTGTTTGCACATATTTACCAATTCATCACCAAAAGTATTTTTCATTGTGTCCATATTATGTCTTTTAGTGGATACAGTATCATACAAATAATAATCTGGTGTTGGTACATGATTGTCATCATCATCTTCAATAATGTCTTGTAGATCAGCAGTCCGAGCATTAAAATCACCTTGTAGCATTATATGACCTTGTTGTTTGTAGAAGTTGATTTCATCCTGTAGTAAACTGTATGGATCAACATTGTTATTCTCATAGTATGATGAGTTAGAAGGTGGAATGTAGACCGTACATAAGTAGATGTCCTTAGTAAGATTGAAATATTCCTTATTTAATGTATTTTATGTATATGTGAAGTTTGAACATGATCGGTTCAGGCATGTATGGAATACACACAAACATGGACAGATGGAAGCACAGAGGTGAAATTATAAGTTTACATACTTACTGTAACTCTACTATGTAAACCTTTAACACATCCTTACCTGTTATAACACCATTGCAATTTTTTTTTATTTCACCACCCACAGGACATGTCTGTACAATTAAATCCTCTACTGAAGAAGCTTTCACTGTCAGATTGTGCATATTTAATAGTTCATCTTGCATATATGTTTTATAAAGGTTCCTGTCAATCTGAGCTCGCGGACCCTGCATATTAATCATAAAGAGCTTTCATTACAGTGTGCAAATTTTGACATTGCTTGGTAGCTGGTGTTAACGCAAATTCATTTTGAAGACAGTCCCAACATATAGTAGTGTGATACACTTGAAATGGATTAATTGTTAATTGGTTCATGACAATATAGACCACACTGCCAAGTTATCACTAATCAATAAATATATCATACCACCATATCATTTGCTGAATACATTGCTCTGATTGGTTGAGAGTTTTTTTTTTAATTATGCAAGCTATGGTAACAGTATACTTTAAATTACTTTCACTTGGGATTTATTTTTGCTATTTTCGCTGAAGGGATGAATCAGCAAGGTAAATCAATGTTGCCGCTAACAAGAATCTTCTAGTACTCAAATAAACCTTGCAATGACCAATTACAATCAAAGAAAGCTTAGAAAGAACTCCCATGTGCTGAGAGTATTGGAGACACATTAAATATAATTCGAAATTACTTAGCTGAAAACTAATTATGCAAATCAGAAAATTAATATGAACAGATTTGAGTGTAAAACTAATAAGGTCTGCGCAATGTAGCAGAAAATCTATGTTTCCAAGTTTAATTGAAATGTGATTAGAACCAAAAAATTATGAATTATTATGCTTATTAGGGAATTAATATGAACAGATTTTTACCCCAAACTATTTAGATTTGTACATTGGCCTAGAGCATCTTTGTACTAAGTTTCATTGAAATGGAATAATTAGTACTTTAGATATCAGTGTGATGGCTTAAAATTGGTTAATTATGCAAATTAGGTAATTAATATGTACAGATTTTAACCCACAATTATCCAATTCTGTCTATTGTCCTACAGCATCCATGTACATTCATTGATATGTGATGTTTAATACCTGAGATATCAGTGTGAAAGTTGGTTAATTATGCAAAT